AGTACCAAGTCTATTTTGTTTTTCCTTCTGTGAACATATTTTTAAAGATTAAGTTAAATCACGTTCTGTAAATGGCATCTTTATGATATATCTTATTGCTATTAAATCAGGTTTACATGAGTGCTTAAAGTATTTAAAAAGTTTGTGGAAACAGTTCATCTATCTAGCTAGTTTCTGTACCTCACTCTGTGGCCCAGCAGGTACCATTAAATATGATGACAAATCTTCCAACACATATGCACACTCACATAAGTATACTTTCCCATGGAGCAGCCATGATATTGTGCAGACTGTAAAACTTACCTGATTATAAAAACTTTCTCTGCATTAATTTTTCATTTTCCAAAGCAATAAAATTAAGAGCAGGCAAACAGTGTCTCCTCATTTAAAACCTTGCTTATTATCCAGATGAGTAAAGGTGAGCAAATTATTAAATGAACCTGGTAGTCACAACACTACAGCTGTATTTCCTGGTACGTACTACTGCTCTGCACAGAACTATTTTTGTATTTGAATATAATTTGAATTGCATGTGTTTTACTAAATATTAGTAATGCTGGTTAAATGAAGGGTCAAACTCCTGAATAACACAAATAATTCTCCAGTGGAAATACCAGGTGTGTTTTAGATATCTAGGTTATTGTGTTAATTATAATTTTTTAAATCATTATGTCACACTTCTTATGCATAAAAAATTAAATGAGACCTGTTAGAATCTTATGTTGATGTCCTTCCAAATACAGGCTAAGGATTGATAGATACTATAAAGATTTCAAGAAGGCACTTGTACTTTGAGTTGCACTATTTTTCTTGTGTTTTCTTAGAACAGAAGTGGCTTGTACTTGGAAGGAATTTACGCCCATCTTAGTAGAATAATAATGCAATACATCATTTTTTATTAATCCTTTCGTTATGAGTGTAATGCCTTAGGTGGCAGATAATGTAGATCTGTGACAGGAAAATGAGACTGCACTAGAAACACAGACGATTTTTTTTGTTCTGCCTTTGCAATAACAATATAGACATCAGGACAAGTCTGCTTGGGCTACCCACCATTCAACAAACGATACTTGAGATTCTGTCTTTTCTTAATAAATGCTTTCTTTTCTTATTATTTTGTATGTGCCATTGGCAAAGGACACGTTGCAGAGCACTGCAGCCTGCTGTGCTTATTTGAAACCCAGCTCAAAACCGGAATTCTTCTAAATATATGCAAAGAATCTGCATGGCAACCAGCAAACCACATGAACCACATTCAGCAGCTGTAAATGGACTCTATATGAATAGAAACCTACTGTCTTCCATATCAGCTATGCCAGAAAAATCCTGTTTGCCAGTGAATGAATAATAATCCTCCAAATACAACGTGACTTAAGATTAAGTACCTCCATTGGTTTTAGAACATACTAAAAATGACGTTTTCAGTAGAGAGGGACATCGCAAGGGCTTGTTATTATTTTCATCCTCTCTAATGCAGGATGTTGTTCATTGAACATATACAGCACAAAGGATGTTTATACCACTCTCTAAACAAAAACAAAAAAAGAGAGAAAATTTGTTTTCACTTGCCTGACTTGCTTAGAGCTAGATATCTCAGAGACAGGCCTCTGTAACCCCGAGCCTATTACTGAGCCGTTACTCATTACTGTGCAATCAACAGAAGTCTTTACAGCACTGTGTATTATTTAACTCTTAGCTCACATTGGCACTTATATTCTATTTTTTTTTTTAAATTAAAAATGCAGAAGTCAACTTACCCGACACGTGAAAGCTATTGGGTCAGCCACTTTCTTAAACACATGCTCAATCTCCTCTAGTGCAGTATAGTACTCAATCTGCGCTGTGGTCTTAATGACTCCCCCACAGTAGACATTTACATATACAGGGCCAGCAGGAAAATCTTATAAAACACAAATCAGAACAGTAGCTGAAAATATTTTACAATCCCATACAAGAGGTCTCAGGGAATGAGTAAAAGAATAGGAAAATATCACAGAAAATGCATAGAGTTGATGAACTGGATTTGCATTTCACACGTGATTCAGTGTAGTAATTTTTTTATCCAGGTCTTTCAGTCTAACATTGAAAACCTGACAAAAGAAAATACATATCTGTAAATCTGTATAAAGCAAAGCTATTGTATTGCTTCATGTTAGAAAGGAGACAAAAACAGTATGCTTCAAATTTCCAACTTCCCTTTGATTGACTGATGACCTACAATCAGCTCCCTTATGCCTACAAATTAAGGAAAGATTCCGTTTATTACAAATAGTTGAATTGCTATTTGTCTTTTGAAAATTTTTTTCTTAATTGCAGGCAAGGTTCTCAAAATTGGATTTGAACTGGACCGCAGAAATTGTAGTATAATTACTTCCAATTCCAGTTGTTTACCTATTAAAAGCGAAGGCATTTGTACAGTTTGTTACTTAAGTAGGACTTTCTCTGTGTATGCAGCTTGAGCCCTGTTTATGTTGACAATTTATAATTCATTAGTATTCATTGACCCAGGCATCCTGCTGTACCATACCAGCACTAGTAGGGATTTCTTAAAATTTTAACTCTGCCCACAAAAGTGCTAAAAATGGGCAACCCTGAAAATGGAGAAGAGTAATAGGGCCAAAAAAGCTAAATGAACAGAACATCACCTTAAATCAGTTAAATGGAAACTGCCCAAATGTTTGGGGTTTTTTTTTTGAACAATAACAAAAACAAAAAAATATTTTTCTTATAACATCAGATCAACTGGATCCTTATTAAAAAAGTGTGCTCCCAAACCTCCAACTTTTCCAGACACTGAAACAGAAAAAAAGCCTCTAAGGAGAAGCATTAAATACCAACGATACAAGAAACAAAATTAAACTTGGGCTGCACCTCTATGCCAGATTTTTCATTTAAATTTCATTTATTGTTCATATTTTATTTCTTCATCCGCTATAGAAACCTTCCTGTGATCAACAATTTTCTCACAGAATAATTCTGGAGGAATCTTTTAAGATCTGTGAATAAGGATTTCAGCTTCTCTAAAATGCAGTTACAGATGAAAGTTTCTTGTTGGTCATGTACTTCTCAATTAAGTCTCTAAAAAGAAACTCCCTGCACCATCATAGTGATAAAGAACTCCCAGACCATACACGTCATTCATCTCAGGACAGTGTTAAGGATGAAAATCAGGCTACAAAATTACCAAACACAGCTTTAAGAAGCCACTGTTGAAAATTGTAGCCCATCTCTATATACTTCTTCCTATCTAATGCTGTATTGCAATGGTTTTAGAATAAAATATTATATAAATTCCTTTGGGAATTCACAGCATGTAGTGGAGTAGCAAGCTACAGTCTGAATACTTAGATGAAATTTTTTTTCATTCTTATATCAAGTGAGTGGAGATAAGTGTGGCCCTTAAATCTGCACAGATTTCCTAAGAGAAACTGCTGTTGACTGGTTGAAACTCTTGGCAACTACTTATGGATGTAGCAGATGAAAAAAAATCATTAGAAACCAGCACAGCTGAGTGATACAAAGAAATTGCATGGACATGAATAAAGAAAAAAGATTTCCTATGTCAGTAAGAATTACAGAGAGGAATATAACCAAATTCACTGCATAAAATATAAAAAATGAAGCATTTTAGTAATAGGGTAATAAGAAAAGAATATTAGCTTTGCATTTTATGTCAGTGATTTTGAAGTATGTTAAACTGTGACTAATCAATGACATTTTAAGCCTGCCACCTGCCATTTAACCACACAAAAACAATCTAACAGAACCTAGTTTGCCATAAATCACAAGCCCTTGCTTCTCTGCATTATTAATAAACATTTTGTGTGCAAAACCCATGCACAGGAAACACCTACAAAATAGTGGGAAGTGAAACTACATAACAGAAAAAGTGAAGAGAGTCCAAAGTTTTCTGTTTACTTAAAGGTAAAGACTGTTTTTCTTACCTAAAGCTTTCAAGTACTTCACATTCTTACTCCAAGAGGCTGGCTGTGTCCTAATTCGTTGTTTGTCTGCTATGAATTCAATTTCTAAAGTTTCATCATCTATTTCATCTTTCAACAGAATGAATATTTCACCAGGGTTCTATAAAATTAAAATATGTTCCCATTAGTCCTTCAGAAAAATATACTGAAAGTTTAAAATGCAAATGAAAACATAAGTTGGAAGGAGAGTTCCTTTACCAATAGCTTCATACAAAAAAATAGTAACACCAAAACTTGATGCCATCTCAGTGTTACCATTATTTTACTGACATAGATGACACAATTAATGTGGTATTTTAAATTCAGCTTACTTAATGATACTCTGAAACAGTATTTTAAATGCATATGCAGGTGAATTGTTATGTTTTCTAAAACCATTCTACTTTATAGTCTAGAAGGATGATATTCAGCCTAATAAGAACCTAAAATACTTCAGACTCCAACTCTTACAGTGAACTGGCAGTAAAGACAGAAGCAGCAGGTAATGGGAGACAATACCCTGCTACTGCCTGCTGATCCAGAGGGAATGTTACTTCCTTAAGTTACTGATGTCAACAACTAAATAATGAAATAATGTAAGACATCTTTGAAAGACAGATAGCAAGCAAAACACATGATATTCCATGCACACTGCGACCTCCATATCTGACTGTGGCCACTCACTTCTATAAAGGAATGCAGTGCTGGATATTGTACTTCCTGTTTATATTTTCACATATTTTCTCACAGCAACTTTAATTAAAAACAAACACATACGAACATCTGTGTTCATTGGATATGCATGCAGATGTATATATAAATATTTCTGATTTATTTTAAAATCAGACAAGGTATGTGCTCACACAAGCACTTGTGTAACTCATATGGCATGGGCACATATGAGTGTACCCATATACCCACCACAGATTCTTCCCAAGAGACACTCCATATCTCTCAAGAAGCGCCTAGCTACATGCTCCCTCTAAACTACAAGGTCCACATGACAATGACATCTCTACCCAAGGGGCAAAATAATTCTGCTAGAGATAAAAATCCCTCAGAGGCTGTCTCTAAACTATTTTATTTGCAAATCTTTTGGCTGCATTGTGGATGTGACACAAAGGCAAAATAAATCCCATTGCAGTCTTGACGTACTCTCATTTTGGACCCTTATCTGCTATTTGTTTTTAAAACTGTTGCAGTATGAATGAGATTGCAGCAGGAAGAGAAGAAGAACATTGACTGTTATCCCAAAGATTTTAGCATCCAAAAACCTTACCTCGCATGACATTCTTCCTGGAAGCACCAGTATCGACTGCTCATTCGTTTCAGAAAGTACCTCTGTTTTAAAACTGAGGTCTGCTTTTTCTGATGCTCCCCTGACATCTGACAAGTTAACATCAGAGCTAGGCTGGTGATCTGAAATAAATAACGTGAATTGAGGATATTGTTAATAATCCCAGATCAACAAAACATGGCAATGACGTGGTTTCCAACACATTAGAGGCTTGTGGCATTTGGAACCACAATAAGGGCACTGCAAGAAAACCTGGCAAAATTCTTTTTCATGTAAATGTGGTGAGCTTTCCCCCTCTGATAAAGAGCTTGCCTCGCAAGTTCTGATCCTGCAATCCTTATTTATATGAACAGGCTCTGCACATGTTCTTTGTCTTACTAAAGTCAAAAGGGACAAGGCCTTTAGACCAAAGTCATCGTGACGAGCAAGGTCACGGAGATTAGCCAGTTTCGTAGTCTCAGAAGAACAAACTCTCATACACTGGGATAAACTGGGATTTTACCACTCTTGCTTTCCCCCTATGTAATCAAGGACATGCTACACATTTATAACATTGGCCCACCTGTCTACAGGAAGGATTTATGTGAGGGCAGTGATACCTGTGACCAGGTAACTATTACAGTGACATAGATTTCCTTGACACAGACTCCATAGTCTTTGCTTTCCTTCATGGAAAAAGCGATGAACTGAAGGCATACATTATTGTGCAGGATATTTTGGGTCTGGAAATGCAACACCAGTCATACAGATAACTTGCAACCAGTTTCTTTTCTGTTTTACTGTACCGGTAGAGGCCCAAGAGCCACAGCGAATCCTTCACCAAATCTCAGAATTTTAATGAGGAAATATAAAAGAACTGACAACTGCATCTGCAGAGCTCTGACTAAGCCTGTGTGGTAGAAAAGCTATTCTTCACACCTGCTATGTCTCAGCTGTGTCATTACTACTCCTTCCCAGACACTTTATTACTCTGTACAAAACACTCTCGCCACCCATCTCAAAGGACTGCAGCAGCTCTTCATCACAGCGGATTACCCAGCACACTGCAGTCACCTAGTTAGATTAATGGTATCATTCCAAGCAGCTCAGAGTTAAGGAAACTTGACTGGCTAGTGAGAAAATATCCTGAGAGACATCAACAGTATCTTGTATTACAGTAAATTATGGAACATGCACAGTCAATTACATTCAAGGACACAAATAACTTTTCAGGCACATCTTTTCCTCTTAAATGGATGTAGAATATTAATATAAATTAGTGATGGGAGAATACAGAACAATAGCAATTTGGCTTTGCTCAAACAAGTACCACAGCCTTTTGGAGTTTTTTCCAAAAGTACCCACATGACTGAGGTACACAAACACACAGTGCTCCTAAGTGGCACAGCACTCT